TCTTTCGATATGGCCAAAAATATCGATTTATATCGATTTACCTGATCGAACCAATCAGAATGTAAGTTCTGTAGTAATATGATCAGTAACAAAATTTTCAAAATTTTACTTTTCGCCGTTTGTTGACTGTCTACTTTCTGAAACTTTCTGATGACCCGGGCTGGCCAAATTTATATCACTAGCCAAAATTATACTGTTAATTTTGTCTAAATTTATATTGTTATATTGCATTAAAAATTGCTGATTTGACCCAAAAATATCGATTTATATCAATCTAAATAAATCAATATTTTTACATATCCCTAATGGGAATGGCTACTAAGTAAAAAATATTATATAATAAATGGCATGCCCTTAATCTGTAACATATATTATTACATAAAGAATATATAGTATATATTAGTTTTTGTGATTTTTTCTAGTATTACTACCAAAATCTGGCTATTACATAATAGCCAAAAAAATTTTTAAACTCGTTTATAGTTAGTATTCATATTATGACTAATTATTAAAGGTTTTAATTGTAAAATTGTAAAGGTAGTTTTTTATATTTATACTACATTATATTTGATTTTAAGATTTGATTGGAGTTGGATCACATGAAAGCTAAATTTTGGTTGTGATTCTGAGCAGCAAAATTTACATTTTTGATACTTCTGCATTTACTTTTTTGATATACCTAAACATATCCTAAAATTTTTATACTTTTTATTAAAGTTTTATTATAAAAACATACAGTTTTATTGGTTAGTTTTAGGGTATATTTAGATGTATCAAAAAAGTAAATACAAAAGTATCAAAAATATAAGATTTGTTCTTGGGCAAGACAGTGCATGAGAACAGTACAAAATTATAGCTTAAGGCAGTGTTGGATGATAACAATATCATAATATCTTGTGATATTTCATCTGATATAGAATCATAAAAATTATATGTCATATGATAAAAAATAATGTCATATTATTAATATATAATACTTTATATAAGATTGTAATATGACAAATTATATAAATTATGTTATTTATATAATATTATAGTCCAATACTGGCTTAAGGTGTGATTGGTTAGTTAGCAGTTAGAGTAAAAGATTTAATATATCATATGATTTACTATTCTAATTAGAGTATCTAGAATTATGCAATACAATAGATAAAATTATGCATGCGATCGAGATTAAATTATGCAATAGATACGATTTCTTATTAAAGTTTTGTCAATTATGCAAAAACTTTGAAATATTTCAGACTTTCTGCACTAAAAGTTTTAAAATACTTACTGCCAAATATCATATTTACTAATTACATACTATCTATGTACTGTATATTATATCTTTTTTTCTTAATTATATGAAGCATATTTGATATGAAAATATAGTTAATTATATATATAATTTCACATCATATAATCCTGGATACCTAGTCCTAATGTACTATCTGTAGATTTTCTGGATTCTGGAATAGTTGCAAGAAAGGCTTGTAAGCATGTGGTTCAATCACAAACATTGATCAGTTCGAGTTAATCAGAGAATATAATTTTTATTTATATCATATTAAAGTATGTAATATAAGTGATCAATAATATAATAAGTTAAATATGAGGTATATAAGTAAGAAAAAATTTTTTTTTACTTTTGTTTAAATCAAATCGATATACTGTAGTTAAGCAAATATCTTTGCATGAAATATCACTATTCAACTTTATCTTGCTAATAAATATATTTGTAATACAGAGAGAAGCACAAGATTAAGCTATACAATAAGTAGTGCAACTATTTAAAGTTAAATTAACGATTTTATAGTATATATTTATTAATTGGGTTGTAAGGGAAGTAGAAGATTGCATAATTGTTAGAGATACAATATGACAAATTAGATTAGACTTCTAAAATAAGTAACTTAAATTGTATATCTAGTTTATTGGCTAGAGGTATTAGAAAAAACCAAAATATGTAGTATAAAAAAATTTTTATTACAGAAATATAGGATAATTAATTAATTAAGTAAAGGTTAGTTCAGCTTATAATATTTTGATGTGATTTTATATTTAAGAAGCACTGAATTTATTTGTTATATTAAGTTAAGAGAAAAAGGTTTAAGTTTATTCAGGATAAAGTGAATTGATAAGAAGAATATCTATTGCTTTGTTAATTTTTTATTGAATATTAAATACTATATATAATATTTTATTTTGCTTTTTGGTCAATACGGTTACAAAAAGGAGAAATATTGCAAAAAAATCACTCAGATATTATATTATATACAAAAAGACTTCATGATATACAACATTATCTGTGTGATAATAATTTAAAGGTATATTTGAATTATTAGATATGAGAATTTTAATAGCACGATAGAAAATAACTCTCAATAAAGTGACTTATAATTGATCATGTGAAAAAACCAGTTTTGGTAAATAGATACCAACTTGATTTAATGTTTGACCTTGTATTTTGTTGATGGTTATGAAAAAAGCAAAACGTACCAGAAATTGGCGTCTTATTAAAATAAAAGGTAATTCGGTATCAAAAAGTGATAATAAAATTCGAAATATAAATACACAACTACTGATATAAGATTCTGTGATAATTTTAGCAATGATTACTTTGCTATAAAGAGCTCGACAAATTAAGTAAATTCTATTGCAACAACTTTTTTCTGGATTTAAGTTATGCAGAAGCATTATAGGTATACCAACTTTTAACTTTAATTAACTAGGAGGAAGACTAGAGATTTTTAAGGATCTTAAAAATTCTGGTAAGTATAGATGAGAGTAGGTTATATTTCTATTATCTGCTGAATTTGTAGAGTTTGTGCTAGGATATATAGAAACTAGACCAAGAACTGATCTATTATTAGATCAGAGATTACATCAATATCATTGTTTTTTGGAATTAGTATAGCTCTTTCAGTTAAGTAATTAATATTATTAGAGTTTTAGATAAAATTCAGATAAATATAATTAATAAGATCTGATAACATTCTACTAGCTATGACTATATCAAAAGGGAGTGTTATTCTATTTTCTGTGTTTGTGATGATTGCGTACATTCTATCTTCTATTTGTAAAAGAAACTCAGCAAATTCTTTTTGCCTCCAATTCTTATTAATATCATTAGTTTTCTGAAGCTTATATTAATTGTTAATTTTATAATTTTCATATAATGCTAAAATGAAGAGCAGGGTAAGCTAGCTGAAATAATATCTGTGTAAAAGCCACAAGGTACGACAGGTAGTACTTGACAAAAATTATTATCAAGAACAATGATCTTTCCTCTAAATGAATTATCTACTTGCATAATATCACGAAATATACAATCAAGGGCTTCAAATGCAAACTTATTAGTTATCAGGGTCTTGTTTCAAATAATAAGTTTTGCGATGCTGATTAAATAGGCTTCTTTGCTATTCTGTAAAATATTATATATAAAAGATTCATCAGGTTTAAGTGAAATTTTAAAATGACTATAAGCTATATATCTACTTTTTATTAAAAGTACTACGATTTCTAAAGAGACTACTACCAAAGCAATATGGCGATATGACCTAACATTTGCTAGTAAAGTATTATATAAAAAAGTTTTTTCTGTATAATCTGGTCCATCTACAAAAAAATATTCACCTTCTTTATTGTTAATTGCTCTCGTAATAGCATCAAATACTGCATGTTGATCATCATTTAACAAAGATATTGTGTTATAATTCGGCTTGTAAATCTGTTATATTATAGGATCTCTCTTTATGTATTAAGTGATTTAATGCTTCTTTATTATTGCTAATATTTGAAGTGATAAAGGAAATTGGCATATTGGGAAAATTTTTTAGAGATTTTCCATTTAATAAAAGTATATTTTTTAATCAAGTAAGAGCTTTATATTCAATTATAGCAGAGACATCACTTGCATTATCGAGATCTTGTAATTGCATGTGAGCTTGATATAAAATATCCTTATACAATACTACTTTATGATTATCTTATAACAACTCAGATTTTAGCGGTTGGCAAAATAGAAGTATGGTTGCAAAAAGCTATCAAAGTTGGTATTCTGTCTGAATAGCACTTGTTTCAAGTAAACAGGCATCCTATTCAGTATCATCATAAAGAAAACTAAGATAAAAGCAAGCTTCTTTGAAGCTATCATACATATAGCCATTGATAGTTTTTAGGTTAGGGAGCTTCCAGAAATTAGCTGATTTTGGGGTAGGTGGGTAGATCAGCCAGTATGTCAGGTGTAATTCTGGCCGGAATTATCAAGTTTCGGCCAAAATTAAAAAATATTTTTAAGCCAAATTATAAACTT